ATTTCGAATGAATCATTAGTATTGAAAAGTTTGTATTAAGTTTTTTTTTTTGCAATAAACTTTTTATATAATATTTGTAGTAGTACTCATTATTACTTTAATTTAACTTTGTCTTTCTTATTTCTGACTAGTACCATATGTATCTTTTAAAAGTAATACATTATGGGCAAGAGATGTTGCAAGGAGTCAACAAATGTGTTAAGACATTATAGTTATCTATTTAGTTTGAGGTTATCCAGTTATAAGTAATAAGTCCAACGATTTATTTAAAAAAAAGAAATAATTTAATGTTTACTGTGTACGATGGCTATATAAATATTATATTAAAACCTTTCATTTGCAAAGTTACCTAACATTGTGTTTTTGTAAAAAAATGAATTTCTTATGGATATTAAAAATTTCAGTTGAGAACCTATTATCATTTACTTTTTCAGCATCTTATTTGTAAGCTAGTACTCACAAAAAATTTATGAAATAAGACTGTTATATCTATAAGATTATTTAAATTTATGATAATTTGTAACTGCATTTTTTTTATGACGTTAAAGATGTATCACAAATTACCCTTTTTTTATGTGTAGCCTTTGCGATTTATTTTCATCACTAAATCATTGTATGGATTGATGGAGTTCAAAGAATAAAAGATTTAGTAATTAATAAATAATCAGGAAAAACGCTAGTTTGTTCTGAGCATCTGGAGCACGAAAAAAAAATTTGTGAGAAGAAAAGTATTCAATAAAATATGCTTAAAAATGCGTAAAGAAGTAATAACTTACATTAAAACTTGGTTGCGCGGATTTATGTACAAAATTGACTAATGTATAAGTTTCTGTAAAAAAACTGTTTAAAAAAAAACACTTTTCATTATCTACATTTTTTCCTCATTTAAAGACTTTGTATTCTTGAGAAAGTGGCGTGGAAATTTTTGATGTTACTTCATTGTGGAAAATGTCATTACCGTTCAATTGTTAATTTAAAAGTTTTGTAACTTGTATCAAGCATGAAAATAATCAAAAAACTGAAGCATGGTTAAAATAACCTTAAGTAGGTACCTAATCTTAAATTGTTACTAGTTTTTTATTAATTTATAAAAAAATAATTATCACAAAAATCTTTTCATATTAGACAATTTAACTTTTTTTGCATTATAATATTGTAAAAACAAACTTTTATGAAATTGGTAGGGCCTAAATCGATTGAAATTTTTATCGTCAACAATTTTTTTTCATATTCTTGCTTCGCAAAATCAATAGGAAAGGTGTATCTAGCCAAAATATCAGGAACCAAATAAATTTACTTCTAAAATTTGTATAATAAAAATTGAAGCTATAGCACTTTAGTTTGACAAAGCTATTGTTTCCTACTTATAACTATACTTTATTTGTAAGTTATCTAAGCCATTTTCTTACGAATAGCGGAAACTTATTATTTGCTTTTAAGTACAAGTGCATCATTGTAGCAGCTCATTTAAGTGATAGGTAGTTCCCAAAACCTTTATGGTTTAGAGTTTGAATTTTATTTAAGAGTCCTCAATTTGGACTTTCACAGAGCTGTCTTGGTTATCTCTTTCTACCTATAGTCACATTGGACCTACCTATTGTTAATACTTCTACGTGATATGTGTTTAGCATACTGTGAAAATATATAAACTGCAGTCTGCAAGGACAATTTGATTGTTAAACAACATATTATTATTTATTCATTTTTGTTAACTCTTTCGTATAAGTATAGTTTTATATACAACAAACTTAAACTAAAGTAGCATCATTATTTTATCAGACCTGTGGAATAAAAAATTATGATACAGTAAAAAGCATTACTTGATTTTCAAACAAATGTGGAAATACCTTGACTTGTATTTGTTACATAGTATATAGTGTTAGATAAATTTCCTAATAATGATTTATTAAGATTATTTAAAAGAAAAAGAAAATCTCTATTAAAATGTTGTTTTTTCAAATTAATTGTAGTCGCTGCAGTAGAAACCGAAAGTAAATTATCACTTAAATCAACGTAAAAATAACCATCTTTGAATGGTATAAATAGTTCAGTTCAAGTTTTTTTTCAAGAGAAATTTAACGTGATATAAATACAGCTAATGTTTTATAAAAAAGTTCTACAAAAATGATTACCCGGATCTGCACTTATTATGGTCGTAGCTAAATTTTATGTTGACTTAAGTGTGTAGGTAATGTTTGTTTAATTTAAAGATAACTGCACTAACAAAAACATTTTATTGTAAAAGATCATTTCTTTTAATTAGTCCATTTTTATACTTGACCTCTAGAAATATCTAATAATTTTTTAGAAAATCTCACAAAACTAGCCATAAAATTTATCAGACCTTGTTATAGTCATGGCTCAATTACATTTATACTATATAATCAGGTACTGTACCCTTTACTTTAAAGTAACAGCACTACCAAAAATATTTGGTTGAAGAAGCATATTTTCTTCAAAATTGTCTATTTCTTATAATTGACAGTACGTAAGCAATAAGTATGTACGTTGATACTTCTACTCAAAACTTTAATTAGTTATCTTTCAAAGTGACTTCTAAAATCATATGGAAGAAATAAAGCAAAAAATATTTTTTTCATTACGAGTTATTTTAATTTGTGTTTTTTGAAATATAATAAATATGTAAACGCAAAGGATCGTCGGTAAAAGCGAGATTTACTGTTTCTGTTTTCGTGCAGAGTCCTAGCTGTGCCACCAAAGTTCAGTTTGATATTTCTTAACTAAATTCTTGAATAATTAGGATTTTAATATGTTAAACATTAGGGATAAAGAATAGTAAAATGTATTAAAGAAAATGTTTAATTAATAAGTGCCCTCACTTGAGTATCGTAATTAATATTCTTAACAGGTAATAAGTACATTAAATGTACGTTTTAAGAAATCAATAATTTGAACGTTTGTATGTATACTCACAAAGAGACAGGCATGTTGATACAAATGTACACTTATATGAACTCACATATTTTGATGATTTGCATTCATAGTCTACGAAGTTTTCTTGTAAGATAACAATTTTCATAAAGTTTTATTTGAATTAAAGTAAAAAGTNCACATTTGTACAGTTAAGTTTTTGCATAATAAATTTCATTTAGTCTATCTTGCATAGTTTTAAAAAATAATTGACAAGTTTTTTTTACTTTTTTTTTAAGAAATAAGAGTTGAAACAGATATAGTACCTGAAAATTACAGTATTTTGAAGGTTACAAGAAGAGCCATATAAACGTGACGTTGCGAAGTATATATAACACGTGAATGTTCTACAATTACGTACCAAAAAAGGAGCTCAGAAGCATGAAAAACGATTCAAAGCTTTTAAAGATACAGCGTTAAAAAAAACCATTTTATATATATATAGTACCTAAAAATTACAGTATTTTAAAGGTTACAAGAAAAGCCATATATACGTGACGTTGCGAAGTATATATAACACGTGAATGTTCTACAATTANATTCATTGTTTTTGAGACAAAACATGCAATTTTCGATACATTTTTTTTTTAAATGATTCTCAGAATACGTAAAACTTTAAAGATTGTTATTAAAAAGCTCAAAAGTAAGATTGTTTGTATTAAAATTCTCCTATTAGTGCAGGTCTTTTTGGGTATGAAAATTTTTTTTTTGTTAATGTTGCATCCTAAAAAAGCGAGAGCTTTAATAATATTTATTGACAAAAAGTATCTCAGTATATAATGCTTACACACTAAAGTGGCAGACAAGCTTTATTTTTTAACAACCGTCTTAATTAGTCAGGGGAGTTGCAATGATACTAGGAGACGCAATAAGTTTAAAGGATGTGAAATTTGCTAACAATCTTTTAATTGAATTCTTGTTAGATTTTAAAAAGTACTTTGGTAAAGAAGAAATAAAATATAACATACTTTCATTACTACATGTGTGTAGAATTGTTGTGGATCTTGGTCCACTATATTTTCATGATGCTTTTTGTTCTGAAATCTAAAATGATTTACTATTACATATAAAAAAAACGCCCAACAGAAGTTGCTACTCAAATAGCAAAACACTACACGTTTTACAGGTCAATACCAAGTTTTCCCCAAAGTTTTCAACTGGACCACGAGTCATTGAATTTTCAGAAAATTTTGATAATCGAGTGAAATTATATATTGTTGTAAGCTGTGCAATAAATGTTGGTGCAGGAATTCCTTAAAATTTTAACAAACAAGAAAGAAACTTGGCATATGGAGAAAGCTGCTTGAGATACGGAAAACTAATTTATATAGGCCGAGGATACACTACCAAAAGTTGTACACAGAATCTGAAAATTAATGATTTAATGATCGAAACACATAGTGGACTTAAAGTTGTTATGTATAACGTTTGTGTATTAAATGACACAACAGAACAAGTTGTGATATTTTTCCATCCAATAGTAATAAGCCGTCAACAAAATGATGATTCAGCGGTTATTCGACATGTTAATAAGTGTTTCATTTAGTTCAACTAAATTAGTTCCTGTGAGATAAACGATTTAAGAAACAAACGTATATGAATCCATGTCGGTAACAAATAGTATATATGTAGTATGTTAAGAGGTTTCCTTAGTGGTTAATTTAAAAAAAACGATCAAATGTTACAATGTTGTCATATAATACGGTAGGGGCTAAAAAATAATAAAGTAACATATTTTCTATAACAAGATTTACAATTATTTTCCGTAGTTAATTAATACTTATTTCTTCCTGGGGAAATGCACATGAGTGGCGAATACTTTTTTTTCTACTAAGGGCGTGACATCATCGAAAAAGCACCCGTAGTAAAAATTCTCTTTCTTACCTGGGGCGTTTTTAGAGGCTGTTGTGCCCTCGGTAGAAAAAGTAGGATCCATCACATAAGCATCATCGCTCTGGGGCTAACTTACGTCCCTCGAGTCGGAAAAAAGCTCAGGAGATGATGGCACTTATCCGACGAGAACAACTATTAGATACATTAAGGATAAAATAAATGATTGTTCTATTATACATTTATAAAATATTTTACGTCACGTTATAGATATACTATTTATCTATTTACAATTATGCACATAAACCAAAAACTCATACATTACGAAAAGCCTTCCTTAAGAGTTTTAAGATTTCACTGAGTAAAACAATGTATGTGTAATTGTACGAATTATTAATTTGACGCATAGTAATCTGCAAAATTATTTTCGAACCATGACACCATTTTTGAATATTTTTTTTAAATCTAAATATATTAAAAAAAAACTTAAACAAATTTAAATATTAACAAACAATTTCTAATAATCTTTAACAATTTCGGATGATTACAAAAAATTTTAAATTCTTTCAACAATAATTAAAGATTATCAAAAATTATCTGAAATTATCTAATAATTGTAAAGGTTTTTTTTTCTATTCAAGACAATTTCGTCCAGCCAATAACCTTGCACAGATATTTCCGCTTTGACGAATTTTAGATTTTCATGTACATTCTGAAGGTATAAACCCACCTGCACGTTTATGTTGTTTAGTGCGCGATAAATTAAATTGCTCAATCTCCCTCCAACTCACGATTTTCTTGACAACTCCCCACCTAATGTAAAAAAAACCAGTGCCCGATTTACGCATCAAGCACTGAAAAAAAAAAAAAAAAAAAAAAAAAAAAAAAAAAAAAAAAAAAA